ATAACAGGATACAAAGGTCTATCTGGGACAATTAGAGGACAACAACATTAACATCATGGACCTACTACAATTTCTGTTCCAAAAAGTACAACTTCAAAAGAAGAGGGTTTGGAAGGATGTTAACCAACAAAGAGGAATCTGAAGCTTGGAATGGTTACATGTGTAGAGTTTGATGAGAGGATTATGTGACTAAAATCTCATTTCAATGGTCTCTGTTTCACCATTGGATCATGGATTCAAAGCTGCTGCTTTACTTTATCTCTGGATCTCTTATGCCAATTTCAATTTTCTCTCTTCATTCTTTTTGTGCTCACACTACTTATGCTTTCTCTGAAGTGATTAGTCTCACCTGGCCTTCCTTTGCTGAAGTCAGAGATGATTACTTTTAGGTGATGAACTTTTATTTTTCTTTGGGGCCGCTCAAGTGAGAAGGATCCAAGCTTAGCAATTCAAGCTATTGTCACTTGAAAAAGCACATATAGTTGATGGTGCTGAAATGTTGGGTAAGGTGGAAGTTCTTGTTTTGCAGATGGAGAGCAAGATTGGTGCTGCCCTGGTACAAGCTGAAGGGGGAATTGTTGGGCTTGGGTCCATCCCATTTGGGTGACCCAAAGAAAAGCAAAAGCAAATCACTTAAACTTAGTCAACTTTGACTTGAGGAAAGGAAACACAGTGAGACTAGTCAATTTAGAAATGGTAAAAAAATTAATCCAACGATCAACCAGGCATGGGGCTGGTCAGCGGGTTAATTTTTCAACTGATGGATCACTGGTTAAATTGTTGGTTTCCATAAAATAGTACAACAATATAATTCAGTTGTTAACATTCAAATTATTAAGATTTTGAAAGATAAAAGCCAACTATTTTGATAATTCCAACTTGTAATAAGTTACATAGTCAAATTTCTAAATCAAAATGTACTTGTTCCAAATGTAAGTTTGTTGTTGTTGGCCTTCTGGTTTTATATTGGATAGCTAGAAGCTGTAGAATAGCATAAGTATGTTTGTGAACTATAAGAAATCAATTGAAAAGTTTGAAATAAAGAGCAAAAAGATGGAAAGTGATATGATTCTCTATTGAATGATAAAAGTTTGGCTTAAAGAAGTCATTGCGGGATGTTTGCTCAAACCAGCCGAGTTCCCAGTCTCCCAATTACCAGTAGGTTTTACTGGGTCCAAATGGCTGCTGTCCTTATCTGGTTGGTCTAGTCTGCCATCCCAGTCCCATGGTCGGGTCACTGAGTTGACCAATTCAATCGTCTGGTCGGATTGGGTTTAATAACTTTGCGAGAATGCAATAGGGAAGAAAGAAGAACAAAGAGAGACAAAGTTGATATTGGGACAAAGAGGTCTAGGTACAAAAAGTATAAGCTGTAATTTTGAAGTCGTGGAATGGTGAAGTAACTCCGATCGTGACTACATTTTAGCCATGCGATTTTATCACCAACTCTACAATGTTCTGATTATAATTTCATCTTCCTCTTTGTTTAGTAAGATCCTTCCCGAGTCACTTCCTTTGAAATTGTAACTTTTGGTTAGGAAATTGCATTAGATACACTTTACTGTTAATGTTGTCATCATATATGTGTTCTTGCAGACACCTTCGCATACCAATTGATTTTGCAGTCTGATAGGGTGTTAATTGTTGGTTATTTTATTGTTAATTTTTCCCTTTATCCTTGTCAAATATTGTTTTAATTATTAATATTTACTTATATTTGGTATTGGACTCAATTTCAGGAAGTGAAACAGAAAATTACCAAAAAGGAGGGACTTGTATGGAAAAATGCAGACTTCTAAGGGCTTCAACCTTTGGGTCCTTGAATTGGTGGGGACCACAAGCTAGTGCAAGGCATTTAGTCATTTGGGCTTTTTAAAAAAAGCAACGTAGAGAGACTTGAAACAACAAGTACTTTGGAGGCTTTGTTCGCATGTGCGGGGACCACGGATAAGAAGCATGAGTCATTTGGACTCTAGGAAAAGAAACGTACAAGACTTTGATTTTGGTGTGGGGACCACTAGAGATAGCATTAGACTTCCTTTTGGCTTTAAAAAGGGAGACAAACGTACTGAGAAGAAAAAATCAATAGTTTTAATTTAGGCTTTTAGCATAGTTTTAGTTTTTTTTTTCTTAGCTCTTTCGCATGGTTGTTCTCCATTAATGGAGGACTAACCTCTTAATTCTAGTCAAGGGGACAACTGAAGACTTGGTTCAACAATTACTGTGAGATCGAAATTATTTTAATCGCTTCCTTATTTATTGGTATTTATGTGTTTCCTGTTTTTAATTGTTTTAGTCCTTATGTATGATTGATTAGTGCGCAATAATTAATTATTCATATAGGCTATTTTGCTAAATAGAGGTAATTGAATCCGTAATTGTTCGTTATCTCTATCTTAGTAGCAACTGGCGTAATTGGATTTATGTCAGGGGAGCATACGATCTAGCTTAAACAAACCCTCGTAGCGTGTTTGTTAGTTAGGATTGGACCTTTCTAATTATTAATGCAATCTAGAAATTAAATCCTACGGTCGTACCTAGGGTTGTTTTTGGGTTAGAAAAATAGTTAACGGTCGTACCTTAACTATCGAGAAATTAAGGAAAGGTTGGTTGTTTATCGCGTGCATGACAACTATAACTAATCTATTAATAAATGTGGAATTATCTGTGAATCAATGATCAGTGCCTAAACCATTTCTGAAGTGTACTCTTGGCTAGAATTTAACCTTAATTATTCCTCTTAATCAATTATTTTCTGCAGTTAAATTATTTAGTTAGCACTTAATCCAAAACCCCCCATACTTTGGACTCTAGAAGAAACGAATTATCCCCAGTCCCTGTGGATTCGACCCTACTCACCGCTATATATAAAATCTGTATTTTTCTCGAGTAGGTATTTATTATTGCACAGGTTCGGCACCTGTCACAGTCGAGATTCTTTGGCAGATTAGGTCCCATGGTTTTTTTTTTTCCAATTTGGGTTTGCCACAGTTACAAGTGATGGTGTCCTGTGCTTGTTTGTTTTTTCTACTTTAATGCTGTTGTTGATGCCATTTTTTAGTTAACTAGTAATGGAGCGCGTGCTTTGCACGTGAATATAATGCTTTTAGATTTTTTTTTCTTTAAAATTTTCAGAAAATTAATTATTTTAAAGGAATAAATATAATTGGGAAAAAATGTGATATTTACTATTTATATTATTTTATATTTTTCTAAACTTAGTTTGCTCTAACCAATACAAGCGTACAAACAATAAATCATTCTTTGTTCCAAGAGCACTTTTATTTTGTAATAGTATCGATATTTTTGTCTTATTTTGGTCTTTTGGTTAAATTCAAATGATCTAAATGCTCTTTTTTATGCCATTTGAATTTAAATTTTTAATTTTTTGAATAATTTATTGCTTCCCTTTAAGTCATTCTATGAATTGTTTATTAGTTTTAGTGAGATTTTCTAATTATTATTATTTGTTTGCCAACGGTGGATTGTAAAATGATCTATAATGCCATTGTAATATAATAGCATCTAAACATATTGAAATTCCATAATTCAAATTTAAATAGCTTAACTTTGAAGAAAAATATTTTGATTAGATGAAATTTAGTTGTAGTTCTCATCGATGACATTCTTTATGATTATAAAGTTTATATGATTAAAATTTGTAAGACTTTAAGATTATTTATTATGTAATAGTCAAGCTGAACTTGGATATATTTTTATTCACCCGTAAAGTACTCCTTGAAATTGATATTTTTTTAAAAATATTTTTTGGCTTAATTCACCATAACTCAAAGGGATGTTTCATTTTTGTAATTATTATTATGATTGTCATTGATGAATTTAATATTCATTAATACTGTTAGTTGTTACAAGAATATGATTGATAAAGTTCATTAAATTTAATCTTTATTGCAATTTAAATAAATAAATTCCCAACATAAAACTCTTTGCCTACCTTGGTACTCTATTTCCTATTATATTTTGTATTAAAGTTTTTTTGTACTCAAAGCTAGTAAACGCATATTAAAACGGTGCTCTTAAGGCTTAATTTAGTTGCATCCAAAAAAAAAAAGACAAGTGGTGCTTTTTAAGAGGCTTATAGTACCAATTTATTATATTTTGTTTAATGTTTGAAGTACTCTCTAAACTTGGATTTTGTAAAAAAAAAAAAGTTGTTCTTCTTTCTTTTGGTAAATAAAAAAGTAAGGAATCTTTCATTTTTGTAACTGCTAGCATGTTTGATATTATTAATTAATGATGAAATGCAACACAATTTTTTCATTTATTAGAGAGGAATGTAATTTTGGCATCACAAAAACTAATATCATTTTTTGTTACACTATTAACCACTAAGATTCTCCATATTATTTTATGATTCATAAATAAATTTGTTCTTACTTTTTCAATTTAATTCACTATAGCTCAAGGGAATGTTTTTCATTCTTGTAATTGTTGGCATAATTGATATTAATATTGATGAAATGCAATGAATTCATTGTTCTTTTTTTGGTTTAATTCACCAAAATCACCACAATTTAAGGAATGTTTATTTGTAACTATTAGCATAAATCTTATTAATTATTAAGAAAATGCGATGTAATCTTGTCCATTTATTAATGTCAAGGGTAGTATTGGTATCACAATAACTAAGATCTATTTTTGCTTACACTCGCACTAATGACTCATCATACTTTTTATATAGTAATAGTAATAGATAGATTTGACCAACCCATCCCATGTCATTGTTTATATTGGGTTGTGGTTTACGTCGATATTTGCCTGCCTGCACCTCTACCCCTTTCCCAATCTTTTTTCTGCAAAGATATTTTCAAAGGGGATTCTTTGAGTAATTTCTTTATCATTCCATGATCAAACGCCCCTCTACAAGCCTGAGGAAAGTGCTATTGAGGGTTTTGAGAGGAATGCGTGTTGGATGCCTATATCAGGGAGGCAGAAAAGATAGTTTTCTTCTTTGCTTAATTGTGAAAACAGATGTACTGTCAGAAGGGAAGTATATTTTTCTCCTAAACAATGACATTGATGATTTCATTTTCCACTTGGTATATTGTGGAAGTTGTGGTCACTGAATATCTTTTGTGCATGGGTATGGTTCTCAAGCTACGGTCTCTTGCTTTCGGAATCAATTTCATGGTCTATCATTCTCATCGTACAGCTACCCTCTGCATTTCCAATGACCTTTAAGTTATCATCTTGCAGCTCATTCTGATACAACTGTTGGAAGGATGCTTGTCGGGAACAAATATGATTTGGAGAATATAAGGAGTGTGAGCGTGGAGGAAGGCAAGAGTCTCGCAGAATCAGAGGGATTGTTCTTCATGGAGACATCTGCATTAGATTCAACAAACGTTATAACAGCTTTTGAGATGGTTATTCGAGAGATCTACAACAACGTTAGCAGGAAGGTACTGAACTCTGATTCTTACAAAGCGGAATTATCTGTCAATCGGGTTAGCCTTGTCAACGATGGGAGTGACGGTACAAAGCAGACACAATGCTTATATTCTTGTTGCTCCAGATGATCGAAATTTTAAGATGGTTTCTATTTATTTGCCTTGAACGGTCTGTTCATTTCTCTATTTTTTCATTTATTGGCGGATATAATATTTATCATGGGGCTGCTGTTCCTTTTTTTTTTTTTTCCCTTGGATACCATAAGGACAATGGGTAATTAGTGAAAGGTCAACCGGGAGAACATTTCTTTGATCACTCAGACATGCTTTGATCATTGCTTTTCTATACTTTTTCTACCCCTCTTTTTGGACACTTGGTATTTAAATGAAGCAACTTCCTTCTTAGACCACTAGTCAGTATAAGTTCTTTGAAAAGGTCATCTCAGAAGTTCTCAGGAAATTGCAGATTTGACTACATTAGAAGGATTGCAATAACCAATTTTTGTGAAAAGGTAAGCAATTGTTCAAGTTTTTTGTATTCCTCAGGAAAATCCAATTTTAGTTGCATTAGAAATTGTGCAATAAACGAATTTGTGGGATATGTTTTGTTTCTGGCTAGCTTAAAGCCTATTAGGTATACAGGAAAAAAGGCCTGTTAGAATATAATCTCAAGTCTGGAATATGAAGAAAGGAAAGGATCTTGGAGGGTACATCACTTGAAGATTGGAGTCATTAATTGGCTGAAGAAACAGGCGTTGCTGGTCAGAAACGCCATCTAGAAAGGGAAGAAGACTCTGGGAGTCTTGGTAAAAGTCTTTGCTGATTGAGTGATCAGTCACCTTTTGCTCCAGTCTTTCCCCAACTAACACCATAATTTAATTCTTGAGAAAACCCCCATTCCCATACAATTTCCATAAAGTCTACCAAAAGTCTTCAATCTTTACTGTCCAACAATAGTACTATTCGAGACTTTTTCTATTTCTGCTTAATTTCCTTGTCATTCCAGCTTCACAGATTGGAAACAAAAAAATTCCAAGAAGAATTCCACTGAATCTCAGCGTTATTCCTCTTGATTCTTTGTTTATATTTTGAAGTACCTGGAACCCTCTTCCCATTGATCTGAGTTCCTGAAAACAATTCCCCAAAGGGCATACATTTTTCAACAGCCATGCCTTCAAACATCCAAATACCATCAACCGAAGCAATCATTTCTGCTGCAGCCTCTGTAACTGCCACAGCCATGCTTATTAGGTCCTTCGCCAATGATATCATCCCCCAGGAGTTCAGACACTTCTTCTTCACAAAAGTTCACCAGCTTTTCACAGCATTTCTCCAATGAAGTCATCTTAGCCATCGATGAATACGATGGCCTCGGCCAAAATCAACTCTTCAAGGCTGTAGAAGTTTACTTGGGATCCATTCTAAGTCCGTCCACCAAAAGGCTTCGAGCCACGTTGCCTCAAAAAGAAAAGAAAATCAACGTTTACATGGAAAGCAATGAAGAACTCACCCAACAATTTAACGGCATCCAGCTAAAATGGAGGATGGTTCGTGAGCAGATTCAACCGAGATACGTTACGATGCCTGGTGACTACAATTCAACTATGATATCTGAACACCGGTATTATGAATTAATCTTTCACAAGAAGCATAAGGAAATGGTTATTGGTGAGTACTTGCCTTATGTTTTGGAAAGATCCAAGGCTGTTGAAGTTGAAAAGAAGACATGAAATTGTTTATGTTGGGAAATGATCGGATGATGGGACATAGGGGTAATCCGTGGCAATCAGTTAATCTTGATCATCCAGCCACATTTGACACGTTGGCGATGGATACGGATGATAAAAAGATGGTTATCAATGATCTTGAGAACTTTGTCCGAAGGAAAGAGCTTTATAGGAAAGTTGGGAAGGCATGGAAAAGAGGGTATTTGCTGTTTGGGCCACCAGGAACAGGGAAATCAAGTTTGATTGCAGCCATTGCCAATTATTTAAAATTTGATATCTATGACTTGGAGCTCACTGATATCAGGACCAACTCTGATCTGAGGAGGTATCTGATTTCAACAGCTAATCAGTCGATACTCGTCGTGGAGGACATTGATTGCTCGATTGAGCTCACGAACAACCGGCCAAAAGCATCAAGGGCACCTATGCACCCTCACCAATATGGTCAAAAAAACAGGGTAAGTTTCCAACGTGATTTGTGCTGCTTTGGAGTAACATAGCATTAAATCTTGCAGTGTGCTTTATTACGAGGGTATACATATTGCTTCAGTTTTGCCCATTGCATGACTCTCTCCTTTGCGTGAGCTGAAATTGCTTGATGAACTCTTGACACATAGACAAACTAGAGTGCTTTGGCAAATACCATATACCAGAAGACTTTATCAAGCATATCTGTTATCATACAAGTTGGCAGAAAGTGATAATCACGGTTTAAGGCGATTAAATTGAATGTCTAAACAAGTTCCATCTACAACGGTATGTCTTAGACTCCTAGCCAGGTACCCAAATGCCAGTTGCCATTTCTCGTTAGTGAAGTACCAAGGGCTGGAGATTCACAGAATTCCTTGTCAGTCTCTTGGGCTCTGACTTAGATACTTGCATATATTTATTACTTTTTTTTTCAGCGACGATATAATTTGTATTGATGGGCAAAAGATGTACACTTATATGAGCAAAGGCTCAAGTGATGCTATACAAAAGTGCAAAGTACACTGAGGATTAATCCATTCCTCATCTTGAAAGATGCCTAAAGCATAATCATTAATCAATTTACATCTATGATCTATAATCCTATCCAAACAAAAGGAGCATTTCTGGAATAAGGACCTCAGATTGTTGATATCATCGATTAATGTTGCCATTCTGATGTCCCTGGTTTTCCTTGATGTTATCTCCTTCATCACTTGGATGATGGGGATACGTACTTTAATTTCCTGCCACTGCTGTTTTTTGGCCTTGATGATGGCCAGCTTAACAGCTTTAGCAGTAACCTGTAGTTGACTTCCTGAGCTTCTATCATTCAGTGCCCAAGCTATTACCACCTGTTTATTGCTGTTAGTTGCAATAATCCCCATCCCAACTCTGCTTGAATCTTTCTGCACTTGAGTTGTTACTCGGATTTGAATATCTGCACTCCCCTCTTCTACTGCTACTGCCTCTTCCCTGGCTCCACTGATATCAGCAGAGCTCATTCTCTCATTCTTTCTTCTGACTGTTACCTGCTCCTGCCATTCCTGTTGTGCCTTTTGAACAGCTTTCATTGGATGTCTTTGTTTGGCATTAAAATTCCAATCATTTCTATTTTTCCAGATTTGCCAGAGTATATTTGCTGTCAACTCTATATGGGCCATGCCATTTATCCTGCTTGTTGCTCCCATAACAGCATTCCACCAAGCTAAAAAGTTCCCTGTATGCTCTACTACTCCATCCCATTGTATTGGTGACATATTCCATACCTCTTGAGCTTTTCTGCAATGGAATCAATAGATTCCTCTTGCTCTCCACATCCTTTGCAGATTGGATCACCAGTCAGTTCTTCAATGTATTAGTCCATTGACTGGTAATGCTCCATTGATACACCTCCAAATAAAGTGTTTTAGCTTGCACTTGACGTCCAGCTTCCACAGTACCTTCCAGGTTTTCCTGCCAGATTTAGCTGAGCTGGTTTCTCCCTCAGCTCCTCTTCTCTCCTCTTGATCAGTTAACCCTTTGCACAGTTCCTTGTAGCCTGATTTGACAGTGTAGGTTCCATTTTCACTATGAATCCAGTAATTGCAGTCATCTCTCCCTGAGATGCATATATTTACTACAGCCATGGAGAAATTAGATTGTCAGCACTCAGCAAAATCTTTTCTAACTCACCATCTTTCCAGTTTACCTTGTCTGGATTGCTGAACTTCATTGATGGACTATGGTCGAGCTGTGGGGATGAGCGCATCATAGTGTTTACAACTAATCATAAAGATAAGCTAGATCCAGCTTTATTGCGCCCTGGTCGTATGGATGTGCACATTTACATGTCGTATTGCACCCCGTGCGGTTTCAAATTGCTTGCTTCCAATTACCTTGGAATCACAGATCATCCACTCTTCTTGGTTGTTGAGCAGCTGATGAAAGTTACAAAGGTGACTCCTGCAGAAGTAGGGGAGCAGTTATTGAAGAATGGTGAGCCTGATTGAGTTCCTTGAGGAAAAAAAGAAAAATGTCGAATTTGAAAATCATAAAAGTAATCAACAAGCACCCGAAGCTGCAGTTCCCCTTGAGCTTGAGGAAGAAGGTGGAAATGAGGGAGAGACAAACGTAATCAGCCTTGAAGCAATCAAAGACCTGGTAAAGATGAATAAAGTGTCTCCTGATGAAGTTCAAGTGATGAAGAAGGATGAGGCTGATATTATTTTGAGAGGCTTGATTCAATTGCTTCTGGAGAAAAAGGAGACTCAAGTACTGAAAATAGACTCAGGATCTTCTGCTGAGAAACTCTCCCTGACCTGAATTTGAAGGGAGAGGTGGGCATAAATGCGGGAGCACCTGAGTAGAGGAGGATAACAAAATTCGCAGATCATGTCCCCTGGTGCGAAACCAAGTTCATCGTGTCTCCTGGTGCTAAACTACCTTTGTTTGGATTGCAGTTTTCTAAGAAAATATTTTCACGTTTTTTGCGGATACATTTTCGATTACTTTTTTGATACATACATCAAATTGCTATAATATATTTTTCAAGAAAAAACTCCAAAAAAAAAAAATTAGAAATCCGAACATAACTATTTCGTATATTACAACTCTTTCAAGAGCATTTGATACACTAAACTTCTAGGGTACTTGGTACGCTAAAATTCTCATTATATAACAAGCCACATTATGATACATTTCAAATTCTCTAGAGGCAGAAAACTATGATGTGATTTGTCTACCACATATGGGGCAAAGCACAGATTAAAGAAAATGAAGGAAGAACCAGTCTTGGTTCCTCGTATGATAAAATAATTTCATTATTAGTTCCCCATATTGCATCTTTACCATACATGATTCCTTAAGGTATAAATAATTTAACTTTAGTCCTTTACCTTTTAATTTTTTAAATTCGGTCTATGATCTTTATGAAATTTGCACTTCAAGTCCACTCTCCAGCATCCAAGATGCCTTTCAAGAGTATAATGTTAGAAATAAAAAGGATCAAATATGTCAAAAAAAATTAAGAATTGAAGATCTAAATGAGAAGTATGCAATTCTTAAGGAAGAAAATATTATCTAAAGTCAAACATACTAGGCTATAGTAAGACTAGCCAAGCATACATAGGACTAAAAACTGCAATTTTTACTCGTGCTCTATCCATCAATGTGCTCTTTACCCTTTGCGCTTAGAATAAAGCTTGAGAGTTGATACATGATTTTTATATATTTCAACTCGTTTATTGACATAAAGCTTTAACTTTCATCTTGTTTCATACTAGTAATTGTCAGAGTACCTTAATTAACTCAATTGTAAGTATTTGAATGTAGATATTAAGAGAAAGTTGAAAACATATTTCGCTTTTAGAGAAAATAAGGAATTTACTTTGCTACATTAGCCTAGTGAACTCAAAAAAGATTTTACAACATATGACTATCATTTTTTGGTGTATAAAATGTACAAACGAATATTTCTAGTTTAAAGTCTTCGTTTAAATAGAATTAATATTCTTATGGAAGAAATAGCTAGAGAAGTTAGACATTCAAATTAGATAGAAGTATAATGTGAAGAAACATATTGATTATAACATGTTTGTGTTGAAAATTGTGCCTTAAATTTGAGTGTTTTTCATCCATTTTTCCTAAGCTTCATTAATACATTGATTCCCTTTTAGATTCATTAGTAGATTCATGAATCTCTTGGAATTTACTAGTTCTTTCATATAACTTCTAAATTCATGTACTTGTAATAATGATGGTACGTGTATATTCTTGTGCCTTCACACAACTCACTTGGGCGCTCTCCTTCCCACAGTGTAGGAGTAGCGTAAGATAAATCTAGATGCTTAACCCGAAAAAAAATATATGAAAACAAGAAAGAGTCTTGAAGGTGTCCTAAGGCATTTACAGTGGATTGCACTCTTTAGAGTTAAAGAGTGCAATTCATATGCTATATCATTACTTTATTATCCCCTCTTTCGTTATATTATCACTCACTGTAAATTACACTCTACATAGTAGAATATCATGGACCTATAATCAAATCAAGTATTTATCTTAATAGTTCTCAACACATATTTCATAAATAAATAAATCTATTTTTTGAAAAGTAATTTCATTTATTTTTGGAAAACAAATTTATTAACTTTTGTTGAAATTTTTGCATTCTAAAAATTTTTTTTCTAAAAAAATAATATTATTAATTTTTGAAAACTAATAGTATATATTTCTATGTATTTCAAAAATAATACATTGTTATTTTCTAAAAATAATTAGATAATTATTAAACAAATACCCAACACTTTAAAAAATTAGATAAGAGGTTAAAGAAAACAAATGATACAGTAGAAGAAATGATGGAGTGGGAGAGTAAGAAATTGAGGAAACGTTAACAATATTTATAGACAAAATTTTGAGAATTGAAAGTGAAAAAAAAATACTGATGAAATTGAAACAATGCTACCATTATTTTACCATTGCAAACATGTTGAAAATTGGATTCAAGGGACCACTGCAAAAGTTTTGAATAATTGGATAAAATGAAACTGTTGCAAAGCTTTGAATGATTGGACAAATTAGACCCACTCTTTCAGCTTTTTTTGCTTCAATTATGCATGTAGTGACTGTTATGCGTGTAATAGGCATTATATTCCAAGTCATGTACTTTCATAGTTAGGAGTTTATTCTCGTTGCCCACCATGTTGATTGTAGCACTTCAAAGTTGATTATAAGTAGGGATAATTTCATAAACGTCCTCTAAGGTTTTAAACAATTTCACTGAGCTACCTTGAATTATTAAAAATTGTACTTACCGCCCTTGATTTGATACATTTGGTAATCAAACCTTAGAACTGGTCAAAAATTTAAATGAACATCCTAAAATGTCCTTGGTTTATATAGTTTATATTGCTTTCCAAAACAATTGTAAAATATATAGCATCAAATATTAAAAAAAAAGCATCAAATTTTCAATACCTATATTTATTATTTAATAAATAATTATTACAATAGTTTTATCACTATGACAGGCTATTGTACATAGTGCTTTACTAGGGATACATGTTCCCTGAAGGTTGGAAAAGAAAGTATTATCATAATTATTTTAGAGTTTGTACATTTTTTAAATGTTAGAGGTGTCAATAATTTAGTAGTAGTTTTAGATAGTTTCTTTTTAAATCAATGTTGTTTTTGGTGCAAAGAAAAAAAAGATCAACAAAAAATTAGACCAGATTCAAAGTTGTCATAAAAAAGGTCACTAATTTAACATTTGGTAATGATAACGACTAGAAGCAATATTTATAGTTTATAGTTCTGTAGTTTTACTTGTAATATGAAAAAAAAAGAGGAATAAGAAGAGAAAAAAAAAGAAAAAATAATTATAAATATCATTCTTTCTATATGCATACCCAACAAGGGAGTTTTATTAAAATGGTAAGACTACTATTATCATTTTAAATGGGTAAGGAAGGTAAGTGTAATTTTTAAAATATCAAGAGATTTCATTGAAATTGTTAGAAACTTCAGGGAAGGTTTTTGAAATTATTCCTTAAATTTAATCAAAAGAGAATATGAAAATATTCATGGGACATATATCAATTAGCCAAGAGGAAATAGATGGATTGGCTGGTTCAGAGAAAAAAGTATAAATACGAAATTTTGAATTCAAATCCTCTCCCAACGTATTATTTGAGTCTTCAAAAACCTGAGTAGAGTTGCTCACATATAAAAAATGGAGCAAGTAAGAATCACAAAGCTAGATATCGGTTACACATTATGAATGATATCTTCTCCCATCTAAAACATTGCCCCTAAATTGAAGGCCGAAACTTGAATTAAAGAACAAGAAAAGGGATCGTCCGCTAGCCATGCTTGACCAGATCACTATCCGGGCAATCTGTCAAATTCTCCACATGGACCCCCTGAATGTGGAAGAAAGAAATATAACAAATGTTTAGAGTCGACTTGATTAATAATAGCCCAGTAACTAGTATACGCTTGTATTAACCAGCACAGCCTGTCTCCCATCTCTCCCATTTTCCAAATGGTCCCCCAGGATGTGGAAGGAAGACTAATGAGTAATGAGAAGACTAGAATTAATTTCCAATGGCCCAAGTAACACTGAAATGGGCATATAACTTGTGTTTGAATATGAGATTATTTGGAATAATTTTTTTAAAAAGTATTATATTATTAATCGCATTTAAGTCCTGACTCTTGAAAAGAAGTACAACTACTAATTAGTAGCAATTTTCACTTCTTTAATCCAATCAATTTCTTTGACCATTGTATATTGGTAACATTAATTTTGCAAGTTATCGTTTTACTGTTTATATTTATTATCTTAGAGTTTACATTTGTTATTGTAATGCATATATTTTTTGATATAATTGACACTAGTAATTGTAGAAATCCCAAATTCTCTGCTTCCACAAGCCCTCAATTATTTTTTGTCATACCTTTTACTTTGTTGGTCATGGTTATTAATCTCCAAGATCAATGGTCATGATTATTAATACGAGATAATTAGAAGAGAAAGTGATCAAATTTAGTGGTTTGCTGAAGAAAGAAAACTATTGAAGAAAATTAGAGAGCTAGTAGCTTGAAGGTTCATTATATTTTGATCATTTATATTGTGACGTCTCTTGGATCATTTATATTTTGATGTTTCTTTGTTTTCTGTTCTTCCTAATTATAAAGTTCAACATATTAAACTGTGGATGCTTGAAGCAAAAAAAAAAAAAAAAAATATTAAAACAGGGACGCGCGATAAGAAAAGGGAATACAATCATTCCCAATAATTCTATGAAATCGGACCCACTACTTTATTGAGGCAATAATATAGAGAAGGGGCTGCTCCGTCTGGACCCACTGCTGTTATTGTCTTAAAACATAGGCTTTTATGTGATCCCTAATGACAGAGTCAACTAATCTTGTTTATCAATTTCCTCCATTTGTAATTAGTTCAAGATAAATTTGGATTTTGGGTGCCTAGTTGAATAATTGATTATCATTGCCTGGGGTCCACCTTGATGCCAATTCCACCTAGTTGACTGGTTGGTTGTCTCAATACACTTCTTCAGCTTCTCACCAGAAACAAATAAGCCGTTTTCAGGAAAGAAAAACTTTGCTAGCTCTGCAGTTAGTGAGATTTGTTTCTCTCTTAAAATTTGAGAGTGAAACTGACGAAAATCCCTGCATAAGAGATGGAGGTGGCCTCCACTTGCAGCATCGATTGGCTCTTACATGATCTAGATTTGATCCTGAACAGCTCAGGAATATACCTTTTTGTTCTTTACGATGTTCGTGATGCAATCAAACACTTGAAATTTCTCAAAACATTTCTTATGTGTGCTAGAAAGTGGAGCCAAAGCAATGATTTGTACTTGCAATCTGACAATGTTGTGAAGAGGGTAAGTCTTCGATCTTTCTTATCTTGTATCGAAGATACCTTTCACAAATATGAGGAGGACATTCAGTCTCTTTGCCTTAGATTAGAAACGGAGGACATTCACAAATCTATTGTTGCTCATGGAGTGTTACACGAAATTGAGAAAGAGATCATATCACTCAAGCAAGAAATCATCCAAATTTACTTTGCTTTGGCAAGCAGCAGGTCATTTCAATCAAATTCTTGTATGACAGATGATGAACTGTTGGAATTCATAGACCTCATCCTGCAAAATCTAGCAGATTTGGCATATGACGATATGAATTGGAAAATTACTAAATCGTCTATTTATGCTGCTTTGAGTGCTCAAGTCCAAGATCTTGAAGCAAAGCTGACATTCTTGAAAAGCTTCATTCCCTTTGCCAAAATGCGAGGAACCGCAGATATTCCTGCCTTGCTATTGGCTCACTTTGAAGTGGTGGCTTTGACCGCAGCACGCCTCTCTTACATGTGGTCCTTTTGGGATGATTTTGAGGCAATTCACAATCCTGGGTTATACTACAGAAGTACTCGCAGCTTCGAACTCCTCAGCATCAGAGCGGTTGATTTTCATGTCTACGAGATTTATAAGGAAGTACTTGCAGCTTCAAACTCCTCAGCATCATTACATACAGCAGTGATGGATGAGCGGATATTGAACAACTTCAATGATTCTCTGATAAGCCGTCTCTGGGAGTTGTTATGCTGCAGCTCTAGCTTTGTGGATTCTATGAAAGATGAAATGCAAAAACTCTATGCAGGACTGAGGTTTTTGAGAAGCATTTTAAGGGAGCATCATGAGATGATGGATGAACAAAATGAAAAAATTGGAGCTCTCCTGGGTGAGGCAGGCATTATAATATTCTCGCCCACTCTGAGCAGAGTGATAGAAGGAGAAGTTAGCTTCTCAGGATCCACCCAGGTTCTTGATTTTTGTGATATGCTGGCCAATACCAACATCCATATCAAACATTTTAAGGATCAGCTCAGTGTCTCAAGTACTATAGAGAGTCTTCCTAATTCCTCTCATAGCTTAAGAGCACCAGAAGTTAGCCAGACTTCCAGCCGCATGCTATCAAAAGGTAAAATGCCAATAGACCATGAAGTCATGGTTGGTCTTGATGATAAGGGAGAACAAGGAATTGAACCACTTATCAAGCATTTTAAGGATCAGATCAGTGGCTCAAGTACTATACAGAGTCTTCCGAACTCCTCTCATAGCTTAAGAGCACCAGAAGTTAGCCAGACTTCCAGCCGCATGCTATCAAAAGGTAAAATGCCAATAGCTCGTGAAATCATGGTTGGTCTTGATGATGAGGCAGCAAAAGTATTTGAACGACTTAGATGGGGATCAGAACAGGTGGAAATTGTTCCCATTGTGGGAATGGCTGGGCTTGGTAAGACGACTTTAGCCAAAAAAGTTTACAATAATATTTCAGTAACCTGTCACTTCCACATTCGTCTTTGGTGCACTGTTTCTCAAGAATTTAACATGAAAAATGTGTTACTTCAAATTTTGTGCTCTGATGGCAAACATTCTAGGAAGGATGAGTTTCAAAATCTGGATGAACATGCGTTGCTTGAAAAGCTCCATCAAAGGCTATTGAAGAATCGGTATCTTGTTGTTTTTGATGATGTCTGGGACATTGAGGTATGGAATGAGCTGAGAACTGCATTCCCCAATGACAAGAATGGAAGTAGAATCATCTTTACGAGTCGATTTTCTAATGTAGCTTCAGAGGTTCAATATGGTGGAGAACCTCACAAGATTCGCCGCCTTACTGTCGAAGAGAGTTTCGAATTGCTGCAGAAGAAGGTGTTTGGAGAAGAAGAAGAATGTCCTCAAGCATTGCATGAATTGGGAATGGCGATTGCCAAAAAGTGCAGGGGATTGCCACTTGCACTTGTTGTTGTAGCTGGAGTCCTGGCAACTATAGAGCATGATATTTGTGTTTGGGAAGAATTTGCTGAAAGTTTTACTTTGACCATGGTGTCTGGTGCAGACCAGTGCAAGAAGTCCTTGGAGCTCAGTTTTGAGCATTTACCATACCACTTGAAGGAATGCTTGCTGTATTTTGCTGCATTTCGAGAAGATGAAAAAATTGGTGCCAAGAAGTTGATGTGTCTATGGATTGCAGAAGGATTTGTGGAAATAATTGAAGGAGAGAAATCAGAGGATGTTGCAGAAAAATATCTGATGGACCTAATTGGCCGAAACCTAGTTATGGTAGGTAAGAACAGATCCATTGGTGGAGTGAAAACTTGTTACATTCACGATTTGATATTTGAGTTCTGTAAGGGCAAGGCGAAAGAAAAGAAATTCCTTCAGGTCCTGCGAGGATATGATGAGCTTTCTACCTTTAATGAGCCTCCCAACCTACCTCGGTTGTCCATTTGCTCCAGTGGCAAAGATTTTATGAAGTCAAAGCTATTTTGTCCGCATTTAGGTACTCTGCTATTCTTTGAAGTTACTTCAGTATATGACAAGTTTGTATTCACAAACATCTCATTCCTTTTTTGTATCTACAAACATCTTGAAGTTTTGAATTTAGGGAACATTAACCTAAGGTTGAAGGAGCTTCCAACTGAAGTCGAATCACTTCTTTGTTTGAGGTACTTAGCCCTTACAGCTTGGACAATGGGATTCATTCCACCATCTATAGCCAATCTCTCACATTTGGAAACCTTTTGTCTAAATTCTGGTGAGATTGTTTCATTGCCAGATAGCATCTGGAACATGAAGAAGTTGAGGCATATACATGTAAGATGGGAGGGTATCATTATTCCTTTCTCTTCCAACGACAACGGTGTTGAAAACCTCTCCACTTTACCCAATTTAGACACACTCTCTTGTTTGTGCCTTTATGAAGAGGGAGAGAACTTATTGAGAAGGATTCCCAACGTTCGCCGACTTACAATTTCCGATTATCAGACTGGAAATGAAGTGTTTAACATGAGTCGACTAGAATGCCTAGAATCACTCACCTACTCGGGCAATTACTCCTCAGGTTCAATGGAACATGTTGAGCTTTCTTTTCCCATGAATTTGAAGAAGTTGAGTCTTTCCTACCTGGGTCTTCCCTGTAGTAAAATGTCATTGATTGAACAACTACCCAACCTTGAAGTCCTCAAATTAAGAGAGCGGGCAATGGACGGCCAAAGATGGGAGCTGATGGTAGGAGGATTCCCTAAACTCAGGGTCTTGACTTTGGAAGAAGTAGAGGTTGTGGAGTGGATAGAGGCAGACCCTGACAGTGATGATTACTTCCCGTGCCTTCAGCAATTAAAACTCCACGATATTTCTAATTTGAAAATGATGCCTGCTTGTTTAGAGAGTATATCTACTCTTGAAGAAATTAAGGTGAGTTCTTGCGGAGATGGCGTCAAATCTTTAGTACGGGAAATTGAAGCAGCACAGGAATATAATAATGGAAATGAGAATATGAAGATCATCATCATAGATTGAAGGGCATCAGCTGGTGCAACATCTGGTATTTTTTGTCATCACCATCAATTGGCTTGTAGAAATAATCATGCTTTTCATTTTTAAACAAGTTTAATTTATATTTTACCATTTGGTAGCTTTTTTGTACTTCAGTTGCCTGTAATGCATGCACAAGCACATTGAAATTGATGAGCAAACAACTAATTATTGCTCCATTTTTTTTCTTAACGATATCATCAGGGAGTGCTGCGGTGGTTTTTCCTCTTCAGATTGTAATTGGTCATCCGTGCGGTCTGGCTTTCTTTGATACTTTTGTGGAAGATGGAGGTAAAAGTTGGAAAGGATCCATGGCTCTTTTCTTGTCAAGATATGGTGGAAACAATCAATGAGATTATTCAGATATTTTGCTGTTGGCCTATTTGAGGTTCAAACTCCATCATTTTGATAGAATTGATTAACAATTTATGTTTGGGCTCATGGTTCTTGGAAGAATATGATAGCCCAATTTGGAAACCTCTGTGATCATCTCTTTTCTGCTCACAACAGGTTTTTTACGGTAAAAACTGCAATGGGGATTGCAAAAGGCATTACGTGGCCTGATCAGGATAGAATTGGTTGAAGATGTATGCTCAATCTCAGGTTTGGATTTAGGATATCCAACTTTGAGATTTGCTAAATTTTCAGAATCACATTTTAGTCCTTCAAGTTGGAGAATTTTTGCAAAGAATGAAGTAAGGGACTTAAGTTCCTTTAAGAAGGATGTCTGCAACTTGGTTTTTCTGCTGCTTGAGCTAATTGCTCGAAAGGGCATTAGTAAAATAATTGATTCTCCAAAGAGCTTTAAATGTGATATGTTTGTATGAATATTTAATTTTCCATTTTTGAATTCCACACCATATGTTTTAGATGATATATAGAGCTACGGATAAGATACCCAAATTTGGAGAGAAAACGAGTATAAATTTCACAATTGTACAATGGGTCGATGCCTCTATTTATAGGCTATGTCAAGTGAGTACAATGAATTTTGGGCTAATTAACATATAATCAAAAGAAAAAAAATGAGACTTGGAGATTTTCATAGTTAAAAAAAAAAAAAAAAGAGCAGCTAACTAAATTCTTCGTGATGCGTAAAAGAACCAAAAAGGTAATCTCACTCTTTCTAAATACATGAATGAAATTTAATTGGATAAAATAGGAATCACATTTTGCAAACATCGGGCCTAAAACAAAGGAAACACATAACCGATTAAACGTTGAAACTACCAAAATAAACAGGAAATGGAGTTCTACGGCGTCCTAAAAAAGTATGCTCCTCTCAAGCTGAAAAATAGACTCATTTAATGTTTCTGGGACATTTTGGACTCTCTCTCACCTCAACGCACATTGTATTGAACTTGTAAGGCCCAAATTTTAGCAACTGTTTCACGCATGCATTTCTCTAGTTCCTAATCTCAACTAATGATTTGTTCTGAATACTTGTGATGAGTTTGATGAGAATGGACTTCTCAACTATGAACAAATTTGTAAGACGATGTCAGATTGGCCCTTCTCAACTATAAAATGATTAATCATCTAATTGTGAATCTACAATACAAAATATGATAGAATTTGCTGACATAACTTAAACGGATTTGGCTCCTCTCTATTGAGTTCTTTCTTCATTTCATTTCGTACGATGCATATTTAGATGTATGACACGTGTCTTCAATTATTAAAAAGGGACATGGTCATTTTAAATTTGACTAATCCTAACTCTTGTTAATAAATAAAAGTACGTGTCATACATCTAGATGAATACTGCGGAAAATGAAGAGAGAATCAACTATAATTTGCTACTAAGACGTGCTATCGATAAGGTTTTGTTAAACAAATGATTTATATGTTTTGTTGGAGGAGAAAATTGATAGCAATATGAAATTTAAACAGTTAAATTTCTATTCTTTTTAATTAATTTTAAAAAAATTATCTTAGTACGTATTCCTAAAACACATGCCCACTATGTGCAACGCTTATGCTCCTATGCTAATTTCATCAAAATAGATCTTATAAATTTTAGTTATAAACTTATCAATTTTCATTTGAAGTTTAAAAACACCATGCAAGATAATTTTTATAGGCTTTTCAACGTCCTTCTTCAACATTATTACTCTAACCTAGTCTTTTTTTTTTTGAGACAATAATTATTGTATAATCTATTCTATCCTAGTTTTTTTACTCTAACCTTGTGTTTGGATTGTAAATTATTTGAGATAATTTTGTGAAAAAATATTATAGCATTTTTTTGATGTGATGTATGTGAGATAAAAAGGTAATTGAAAAATGTGTTGATGATGCAAGCAAATTAGTGTGTAAATAAAGTGAAATAGAAGACAATCCAAACACTTTTACGTTTTTCGCTAATACATTTTTCAATTACTTTTCTGATACATACATTAAATTGCTATAATACATTTTTCAAGAAAAAACTCCAAAAAAATAGAAATCCGAACCTAACTATTTCGTATATTACAATTCTTTCAAGAGCATTTGATACACTAAAATTCACATTATATAACAAGCCACATTATGATACATTTCAAATTCTCTAGAGGTAGAAAACTATGATGTGATTTGTCTGCCACATATGGGGCAAAGTACAAATTAAAGAAAATGTAGGAAGAACCAGTCTTGGTTCCTCGAATGACAAAATAATTTCGTTAATAGTTCCCCATATTGCATCTTTACCATACATGATTCCTTAAGGTATAAATAATTTAACTTTAGTCCTTTACCTTTTAAATTTTTAAATTCGGTCTCTTATCTTTATGAAATTTGCACTTCAAGTCCACTCCTCCAGCATCCAACATGCCTTTCAAGAGTATAATGTTAGAAATAAGAGGGATCAAATATGTCAAGAAAAATTAAGAATTGAAGATCTAAATGAGAAGTATGCAATTCTTAAGGAAGAAAATATTATCTAAAGTGAAACATACTAGGCTATAGTAAGACTAGCCAAGCATGCATAGGACTAAAACTGCAATTTTTACTCGTACTCTATCCATTAATATGTTCTTTACCCTTTGCGCTTAGAATAAAGCTTGATAGTTGATACATGATTTGTATATATCTCAACTCGTTTATTGAAGTAAAGCTTTAACTTTCATTTTGTTTCTGTGAGGACCCGAAATTTTTTATTTTATTTTATCGAATATTAGTAGTTTGTTTAAATATTTATTTACTCATTTTTCTCTAAATTATTTATTTCGATCATTTAAAATCCATTTATATGGAACGACGCCTCTTTTATATTTTTAAAAGCGTTTTGTTGGAAAAAATTCACTTTTCGAAAACTCGTTTAGTTCGGAACAACGAGTGCACGTTTTTCGAGACTATATTTGAATCGAGAGTGTATTAATATTGGAGAATTAAGAACGATCAATAATAGATTAAGAAAGGATAATTGAGGAATTAATACTCAATTCACGTGAGGACTCGGAAAATTATTATTTTTAAACCCCTAATTTTGGCTCAATTAATTATCTATTTGGATTTTTGCCCGAATATTATTTTCTATCCTTATTAGACCTAAATATATGGTTTTATAGTTTCGTTATATTTTTAAAGTGTCTCGTTTCAAAAAATTATTTTCTTAGAAGCTTGTTTAGTGAAAAAGTGAAAACGTGTCTGAAAACTTTAGCCAATTAGGAGTACAATAAGCTCAAAAATTTAAGACATATACAATGGTCCTAAAATAGGCAATTTTAGGTTTAAATATTGAAGTGATAGTTAGTGGTACGATCGTTATAAGAATTTTTCAAAGGTTTCAATTTTTATTGCGCCTAAATTAGAAATACGTGTTTTCACGTGCGCGCTTAATTGAGGGATTTTGGACCATTATTTTGGGATAATTAAGAATGAATAATATTTATATGTATGTAAGTGCCCTAGAGGTTTAGTGCACTAGTGCAACAAACGTAAGAGAAATCGGACACAAAACGCGCGTGTAGGGCACTAGTTGTAATTGATTTGACGTATTTAATAGATTAGACGTCAAGCGTCTTTCGTACGCAAAGGAAACCAGAAACCGCATTTCCTTTCCTTCTAGCTTCATTTTTTTTTTTTTGTCAAATTTCCTTCTAGCTTCATGGTCGGCCAGCTACTGCAGAGAAACAACCAAAGACTTCAACATTTCCTCTTCCAAAGCTCATGCAAATCACTACCAAAACTTCCATAGATTCAACCAAAATTTCACACACACTTAGCTCTACACTTGGACAACACATCTAGCTGCAAAAGGAAGGAGCTATCCACGGTTTCTTCAAGCTTCAAAGGGCCGAAACCTCTGTCCTAACCAGCCATCAAAGTAGGTAGTAATCTAATGCCTTGAACTTGTCTTATGGAAGCTAAATTGCACTTATAAATTTGAATCGGCATATGATTTGTGGTTGATGTTGGAAAATTGTTAAATGTGGGCTCTATGAACTCCCACTTTGGGTTGATGGCTGTGATGATGTTTGATGATGGTTTTGTTGCTGTATTAGTGCTTAACGAAGTAGATTAAAAGTGCATTATTGACAGAAACGTTATTGAGTTCTTGAAGCAAACAGTTCCGATTTTACCCCTGCTCTGTTCGGTCACTTTAATGCAGAAATTTGAGGATTTAATGGCTTGATTGTGTTGTTTAATATGTTGTAGTAGTTGTGTAAAAATTTTCATTGAAAAATACTGAGTTTTGGTGGGTCAAACGAATTTATTTCAAAAACTAGTAATTTGGAAAACGGTTTCGTCGTAATCCAGACCAGTGTTTGTATTTCATCCATAACTCCGTACTCCGACGTCGAAATCAAGTTCCGTTAGCAGCATTTGAAACTAGGCGTTCCCATGTTTCCAACGGTGTATAATGCACATTCTGGTTTCATGTGTGTGAGCCACACCATTCATCTGAAGTCGGCTGTCCTGTTTCTCCGTTCTGCCGAAATGATTTGATGATGCTGCAACTTTAGGCTTAATTTCGAGCTAGTTGCATGCTGAAACTTGAAACGATTTCTTCTGTGAACTTTTAGCCCTATGAATGTATTTTCCAACGCCGTAAACCATGCTCAATTCCAAGTTAGGTCGACTGAATTGTGGTCAAAACAAGAACGCTGCTCTGTTTTGGAAAAGCCTAGTTTTGGGACAGATTTGAGATGAGACTATTGTGGTCTTGCTAAACGAAAATTTTGGTGTTAAACACCTACCAGATGTACCATGAATGATCCTTAGACTTTCCTTTTACATATGGACCATGATTGGAGGATTTCCATAGCCAAACGATTGAATTTGGGAAGAAAAGGATTAAAGGCAGATTGCCTTAAGAATTTTTCCAAACTTTGGTTGATTTGTTAACCACCTTTCCGAGGGTATTTTTCCACGAAATTTGATAGAGAGATACCCTTCATATAGGAGTATTATACTACAAAATTTGGTGTCAATCCAAGTCCGTTTCGACACTTAACAAATGGTCCAAAGTCGGAACCAAATCTGGAAATTTTGTAACAGTCTTGAATTTTTCCCAACTTTGAGCTACCATATCTTGGTGCTCGAAACTCCGATTCTCGATCCGTTTGTTCTACCCTAAACCTTACTTGCACCTCTAATTGAGCTATAAATTTCAAGGGCTGGTTTTCAACGAGTGAATTCTGCCGAATTTCCAAAGTTAACGAAAAACCAACCCCGGCTCAATCTTGGGTGATTTGGAACAGCAACTTTAAGCTCATTTTTGAACACCTTCCACTTAGATTCATGGAAAAATGTCTTCTAAGAACTTTTAGTACTTTGGAAGAGGTTTCCAACGGTACCAAGTTTTCCAATTTTTGACATGTGGAATCTGAGATACGATTTTTTTCACAATATCGTATCAAAACTGAAATTTTCTGAATTTCAAGGAAATGGAGTTTTTCAAGTATTCCTTATTTCTTCGATAATACTTGAACGTTTATGCTTGATTTCCAAGATAACAAAACTCGATTGCTCTTGTATATTAAGAAACTCCACTTGAACCTCGATTTACTAGTAATTGAGGTTCATTTTCATGAAATTTCCCCAGATTGTACTAGTGCACAATCTTTCTTGATAATTGGGATGTGTGAATGATAATTCACTATTAAATGCTCAGGCGCTCAAGAGGACCTTCCAGAGGATCTCACGGGAGACGCCTAAACTCGCTACTTGAATCACTGTGAGTGTCAAGTGCATGAACTTGTTGTTAAGTGGTTATCTGTTTCTTATCCGTTATGTAAATTTGAAATTTTGAGACGAGGGTGTACTTTATCGCACTCGTTCTCTTTCAAATGAAATTATATTCGAATTTTGCTATGTAAATTCGTATCCAACTTGTACATGGTAATGTGGATGTGATTTGTACATGTGATTCGTATATGTGATCCGTATTTGTGATTCCTATTTGGAATCGTCGATTTGAGCGTTGCTCATCGACTTATATTCGTATTCGTATTCATATTCGGGGGACGCCCAAAACTCATTGGCTAACTTTGCGAATCGAGCCAGCATGGGTTTGGTCGATAAGCTTAGCAAACCATGAGATATTCGTAGAGCATGATCTATTGGAGAGATCTTGCTCGGCATTACTCGTGCAGTATTGCCATGATATACTCGAGTATTATCAAAAACTTTGATGAGCGGGTCCGATAAGGGGGTGTAACGGTGACGGGATTCGAAGAAAAGTGGTGTATCTACGGATTTGATACTTATGTGGTTGACGGAGTGTCAACGTGAGATGTGATCAAGACTTCGACTCGACTACTTGGAATTTAGCTTCTGAGAGCTACAGTATCCTTGAATTGTTTCTGTTTATTTTTCCTATTCGAAATGTGAATTATTCGAATTTGATAGCCTTACCTACAATGTACTTGTTGTTGCTACTTGGTTTATGTGTTTGCATGTGTGTTTTCTTGGCCTCACTGAGTATTGGCTCGTCCTATTAGTTTGTTTTCCTTAACAGGTTGGATTGGAAGATTTTGGTAAAGCCGACTAGATTATACTTTTGATTGGAATCGGGGCTGTAAATGTGTAGTCGACTTTTAATGGTTGCATTTTGGAACTTGATGTATCTTTTGTGGACATGATGTAAGATTTAAATATTTAGTTAAGAAAACGACTTTTCTTTATTTTGACTCGTAGTATTTGGTATGTATCGTTAAGTTCGATTTGATTTGTCTTGAGTCCTGGCGAGAGTTGGGCAGGCGTCCCGCGGATACCCTTGGGTTCGCCCTTGGGAGAAGTGGGGGGCGTCACAGTTTCATACTAGTAATTATCGAGTATCTTAATTAACTCAATTGTAGATATTTGAATGTAGATATTAAGAGAAAGCTGAAAACATATTTTGCTTTTAGAGAAAATGAGGAACTTACTTTGCTACACTAGCCCAATGAACTCAAAAAAGATTTTACAACATATGATAGGTTGCAATTTATTCATTTATTTTATTATTAATTCCTCCTATTACCTGACTTGATGTGGATTTATTTGCTGGATTCTACTCATTTTTAGTATTTGACGTTTATTTCAGGGAGTAGAATATAAATATGATAACAGGTGCCAAATTGGCAGAAAAAGAATTCAGATGATTAAACTTGTCCCAGGGGCACTTTTGGAACAGAAGATGTCACGCCCATTTTGGTAATTTTCGCAAAGGAACGACGGACGGAGGGCTTCTCTTCCTGTTGATGTGCGCCGCAATTAAAGAAAGAGAAGGAGGAGGAAGTTGGATAGTTAGTTTTTTTTTTCCTTAGTTCTGGCCGGCTGAAGCTTAGGAGGAAAGCTTGACTTTGGTCTTCCCTGGGACTTACTTTTGAGCTTTAGAAAACTAGAGAAAAAGCATTTGTTAGCTTTGAGCTTTGACTTTTCTTCTTTTATTTTGAATCCTGCGCATGGCTGGAACAAGAGGGAATTACTTCCTTTGACCCTTCTTTAGCTTATTGTAGCTTCTGGTCTCCACGCATGTTAGGAGCAAAAAGTTGGAGCCCACCTTCTTTAACTTTTCCACCTTGTTTCTCTTGAGTGGCCCTGCCCCACGGATGCTAGCAACAATAAAGAAACTCAATTGTCACTTGTAATTGTCGCGTGCCTTATAAGTGTTCGACGAATTGCGAATTCCTAAGATGCAGACTAAGGCCGTGACTCTGGCTGAAATTTCCTGCGGGCTTAGTTCACCCAATATGAGCTAATCCCCTCATTCTAGTCAAGAAACGACGGATGCTTTGATTCGCCTAAAAATTGTGAGATCGATTTAATTTAATCTTTCCCTTTTATTTATTGGTATTCGTGTATTCCTTGTTTGCTACGCTTATGGTTATTCAATTAATTGATTGTCATGGATCCGGATAATTAATTGATCTGATAGCCTATTGTCAACTAGGACATTTAAATCCGTAATTGTTTGATTGTCCTGAATTAGTGACGACTGGCACGATTAGCTTCGTGTCAGGGGAATACACGGGCTAACTTAAAATAACCATGGTAGTGTGTTATTTGGTTAGAATAGGGCTCTTCTAATACGTAAGGCAGTTGGGAAATTAAATCTTACGGGCGTACCTAGGATTATTCCCCAATTAGAGCAGTGATTAACGGGCGTACCTTGATCACCGACACAGTAAGGAGGGGTTGACTGCCATCGCTTGCTTGGTAGTTATAACCTATTTATTGATAAGTAGTTGGGATTGCCTTTGCTTCGATGATCAATTAGGTGAACCATTGCTGAAGTTATTTCTTGGCTAGATCTTTAATTAATATTATCTTGATTGTAGTGAATTGCCATTCGGCTTTTGGTTGTCTACGTTATTTCCTTTTTAATTGTTTCCTTGTTTTAATTGATTTCGGCCTTTAATTCTTGTTATCCTGAGTTCAGTAAATTGTGGTTTAATTTCTAGTTAGTTGTTTATTTTTATTTTCTCATTGAAATTTTAGTTAATTATCGTCGTTCCTACAAAATCACCCCCTGTGTTATTTTGGATTTCTTAAGAAACAAATATACCCAATCTCTGTGGATACGACCCTACTTGCCCTGTCTACAAATTCATAATTATTTGTGAAAAGGAATAACCATTCCATTCGGGTATATCGGATCAAGCAAACTCTTCGGGAACATGATGAATCAAGTAACCCATTGCACACCTAGAGTCCCTGCTCCAGTACTTGGAATTGGGTTTTGGTCATTTTAACTGGCAATTAGGTTTAACTTTATTATTGCACAGGCTTCGACAACCTGTCAATTTTTGGCGCCGTTACCGGGGACAGGCGTTATTATTTGTTTCTTTTTAAATTCAATTTTTGTCCTAATTTTCTAGTTTTCTTCTAGTGTATGCCTCGATCTTCTTGCACAGTTGACTTGATTTTTGACCCTGAGGTAGAAAAGATCACGCGTAGAACGAGAAAGGAAACCAGACAGCTCAGAGAAGAGCACTCCAGTGCTACATCTCAAAGACCCGAGTCAGAAGTTGAACGAATAGATTCGTTTGGCAACACTTCGAGTGACTCTGACCAGGAAGAGGACACCATGGCTAATGCACAAACATTAAGGGAGTTGGCTGCTCCTGATTTAACTCAGCAGCCTTTATGCATTACTTTCCCCGCTTTAAATGACAACATTCCATTTGAACTAAAATCTGGTCTGATTCAGCTTTTACCCTCTTTTCATGGTTTACCAGGTGAAGAGCCGTATAAGCATCTGCAGGAGTTTGATGTCGTGTGCAATAGTATGAAATCCCCGGGAATCACAGAAGAGCAGATAAAAATGAGGGCATTTCCCTTCTCCTTGAAAGATTCGGCGAAGGACTGGCTGTACTACCTGTCACCAGGTAGCATCACCACGTGGGGCCAATTGAAGAAGAAATTTTTGGATAAATATTTTCCTGCGTCCAGGGCTGCAAGTCTAAGGAAAGAAATTTGTGGGATCAAGCAGCATCCAGGGGAGTCACTTTACGAATATTGGGAACGGTATAAGAACTTGTTGCGCAGGTGCCCCCAACACCAAATAAGTGAGCAGTTGATCATACAATATTTTTATGAGGGGCTCCTTTTTAGAGACAGGAGTATCATTGATGCTGCAAGTGGAGGGGCACTGGTGAACAAAACCCCTCAGGAAGCACGGGAGTTAATAGAGGGGATGGCAGAGAATTCACAGCAATTCAGTACAAGAGAGGATGTCCCAATACGTATGGTGAATGAGGTAGAGACACCCTCTATGCAGCAGCAGCAGCTAAATGAGTTGACTGCGTTTGTTAGGCAACAGGCTGTGAGAAATGCATCACAAGCCAGGGTATGCGGGATTTGCACTGGTATAGGTCACTCTGCAGACATGTGCCCAATGATTCAGGAAGAAACTGCAGAACAGGTGAACATGGCTGACCACGCGCCCGCGCCAAGGAAGCAGTACGACCCTTACTCAAACACCTACAACCCCGGGTGGAGAGATCATCCCAACCTCAGTTATGGAGGGAATAGGCAACCCAACTTTACACCGAACAGGCAGTCTAACTTTGTGCCAAATAAGCCACCAGGGTACCAGCAGCAATACCAACCCTGACCACCTCCGCCCCCTCAATCTGGTTCATCTACGGAGGAGATGCTGAAACAAATGATGACAACCATGACGCAAAATCAGCAAAGGACGAAGGCAGTTATTATGCAAAATCAGCAAAGGACGGACTCCGAAATGCAGGATATAAGGAATCAGATAAGTCAACTGGCCACCAAAGTTAACCGTTTGGAGTCCCAGAACCAAGGGAAGCTGCCATCTCAACCGGAGTTGAATCCGAAGAACGTGAGCGCAATGACCCTAAGGAATGGGAAAGAAATTCAGGGGCCTGAACCTGTGATCCCTAAGGACAAGGATGAAGAGAAAATCGAAAATGAGCTTGGAAGGGAGGACAGCAATGGTGCAGATCAAAAGGTACTTCCTGATCCAATAATTACAGTTAAAACTAACCCGCCTCCTTTTCCTAACAGGTTGGAAAAATCGAAGAAACAGGATAAGGAGAAGGAGATCTTGGAGGTTTTTCGCAAGGTTGAGATAAATATCCCACTCTTAGACGCCATCAAACAAGTACCAAAATATGCCAAGTTCCTAAGGGACTTGTGTGTCAACCGAAAGCGATTGAGGGGGGATGAAAGGATTATTGTTGGGGAAAACGTGTCTGCGGTCCTGCAGAGAAAGCTCCCACCAAAGTACGGGGACTCAGGTATGTTTACTATTCCCTGTAGGATAGATAATACTGTGATCAGAAGGGCCATGTTGGATCTGGGAGCATCGATTAATGTCATGCCTAAATCTATCTATGCTTCTTTGAAACTAGGTCCATTAAAAGAAACTGGAATAATTATTCAATTAGCTGACCGAACTAATGCATATCCTGATGGGTTGATTGAAGATGTGTTGGTAAAGGTCAATGATTTGGTGTTTCCAGCTGATTTTTATGTACTTGATATGGATGATGATCACTCCCCTGATCCCTCACCTTTGTTATTGGGTAGACCTTTTATGAGCACAGCACAGACGAAAATTGATGTTAATAAGGGTACCTTGTCCATGGAGTTTGATGGGGAAATTGTGCATTTTAACATTTTTGATACTATGAAGTACCCCTCGAACTCCAACTTTAGCTCAATTTTTTCTGTGAGTGCTATTGACCCTGTAGTGCAGGAAGTGTTTGAAACTGATGGCAGGGATGAGTTGGAAGTGGCTTTAACCAAGCACCTCGAGTTGGAGACAACTCCTCAGGTGGAGTGGAGTGAGGATTTAAAATGCACAATAGATGCATTACACTCATTGCCGACCACCACGAAAAGGTATGAAATCTTACCTATTTTTACTCCCGAGCCTCACCAGAGCGTATTGCCATCTGTGGTGTAGGCACCTGTACTGGAGTTGAAACCTCTACCAGAGCACCTGAAATATGCATATTTGGGTGATAATGAGACACTCCCGGTGATTATCTCATCGGCACTGTCAAAAATCCAGGAGGAGAAACTGATCCGGGTCCTTAGAGAGCATAAAGAGGCGATAGGTTGGACAATTGCAGACATTAAGGGGATCAACCCGGCCGTCTGTATGCATCGGATTAGACTAGAAGAGGATGCCAAACCTGTACGACAGGCTCAAAGGAGGCTCAATCCCCTCATGATGGAAGTTGTAAAGAAAGAAATCTTAAAATTGTTAGATGTGGGGATTATTTTTACAATATCAGATAGCCCTTGGGTGAGCCCGGTCCAGGTAGTCCCAAAGAAGGCAGGAGTGACTGTAGAGGCCAACCAAACGGGTGAACTCGTGCCAGTGCGCAAACCCACTGGATGGAGGCAATGTATAGACTACCGTAGGCTAAATGCCGTCACCAAAAAGGACCACTTCCCTCTCCCTTTCATTGACCAAATGGTTGAACGTTTAGCTTGTAGGGCTTATTATTGCTTTTTGGATGGATTTTCAGGATACTTTCAGATAGCAATTGCCCCGAAGGATCAAGAGAAGACAACCTTCACGTGCCCGTTCGGGACCTTTGCCTACAGACGAATGCCATTCGGGTTATGCAATGCACCTGCAACATTTAAGAGGTGTATGGTAAGTATTTTTTCTGAATATGTGGAGAAAATTATTGAAGTTTTCATGGACGATTTCAGTGTATATGGTGATAGTTTTGATACGTGTCTAGATAATCTGAAATTGATCTTGATAAGGTGTATAGAGACTAATCTTGTGCTTAATTGGGAAAAATGTCATTTTATGGTTGAGCACGGGATAGTCATGGGTCATATTGTATCGTCTAAGGGCATAGAAGTTGACAAGGCTAAAATAGACATTATTTCTGCATTACCTTACCTCGCGAGTGTGCGGGAGGTGCGTTCTTTTCTTGGACATGCAGGTTTTTATCGAAGGTTCATCAGGGACTTTTCAAAAATTGGAGCCCCGTTGTTCCAACTCCTACAAAAGGATGTGACCTTCGAATTCAATGACAAATGTGAGAAGGCCTTCGACAAGTTGAAAGAATTGTTGACTTCACCCCCAATCATCCAGCCCCCTGACTGGAGTCTACCATTTGAGATTATGTGCGATGCCAGTGATCATGCTGTAGGGGCTGTATTGGGGCAAAGAGTAGGGAAGGCAGCTCACGTCATCTATTATGCATCCCGAGCATTGAATGGAGCCCAGTTGAATTACTCCACCACTGAGAAGGAGCTTCTTGCAGTTATTTTTGCTTTAGAAAAATTCAGGTCATATTTGCTAGGTGCTAAAGTAATTGTATTTTCTGACCATGCAGCATTAAGGTACCTAATGACCAAGAAAGATGCAAAGCCGAGGCTCATCAGGTGGATATTGCTACTACAGGAATTTGACCTGGAGATAAGAGACAAAAAAGGCTCAGAAAATCTAGTAGCAGACCATTTAAGTCGCATACCAATTGGGGAGGATAATAAGCCATTGAAGGATGCATTCCTTGAAGAGCATTTATTTTCCTTAAATTCTCAATTGTCTTGGTATGCTGATTTGGTCAATTATCTAGTAACGGGTGATTTTCCTGCAGGTTGGCCAAAATCGAAAAAGGATAAATTGAAAAGTGACGCCAAGTATTTCATCTGGGACGACCCGTACCTATGGAAGAGATGTGCCGACCAAATAATGAGGAGATGTGTAAGTGAAGTGGAATTTCAATCAATTTTAGCTTTTTGCCATACTTTTGCCTGTGGAGGTCATTTTGGACCTAAGAGAACTGCTCAGAAGGTTTTAGAAAGTGGATTTTATTGGCCTTCACTGTTTAAAGATGCCTATGTGTTTTGTAAGTCCTGTGATCGCTGTCAACGGGTAGGTAATATAGCCCGAAGGGATCAAATGCCCCAGGTCTCGTTGATTTTTATTGAAATTTTTGATGTCTGGAGTATAGATTTCATGGGGCCTTTTCCTACTTCATTTGGTTTTTTATATATTTTGCTGGCAGTTGATTATGTGTCTAAATGGGTGGAGGCTAAGGCCACTCGAACTAATGACTCGAAAGTAGTTGCAGATTTTATCAGGTCTAATATTTTTGTGCGATTTGGAATGCCTAGAGCTATTGTCAGTGATAGGGGAACGCACTTTTGCAACAAAACCATAGCTGCGTTGTTTCGCAAGTATGGTGTACTCCACAGGGTCTCAACGTCATACCACCCTCAGACCAATGGTCAAGCGGAGGTGTCGAATCGGGAGATTAAGACCATTTTAGAGAAAATGGTGCGCCCTAATAGGAAAGATTGGAGCCAAAGGTTGGAGGACGCACTCTGGGCCTATCGGACGGCGTACAAGACTCCTATAGGGATGTCACCGTACATGTTGGTATTTGGGAAGCCGTGTCACCTTCCAGTGGAGTTCGAGCACAAGGCTTTTTGGACGATAAAGCAATGTAATATGAATCTAGAAGAGGCCGGTGTTCAACGGAAGCTGGATTTGCAAGAATTGGAGGAGATCCTGAACGAAGCATAGGAAAACGCCTTGATTTATAAGGAGAAAAACCGGGCATTTCATGACCTACAAATTTCAAGAAAAACATTTGAAGTTGGTCAGAAGGTACTCCTGTACCAATCCAGGCTCAAGCTATTCCCAGGTAAGCTACGTTCCCGTTGGATTGGACCTTTCATTGTTACTCACGTTTTTCCATATGGTGCAGTTGAGATCCGAAGTGCTAAGACAGCTAACAAATTTGTGGTGAATGGACACCGTCTCATATATTATTACGAAAGATTTTCGGATAGAGAGGTGGAGACAATAAGGCTTGACGCACCACCGTGTCCTAATCAGTGACACTTTACCATGTCTAGCCAAAAACATTAAAGAAAGGCGCTCATTGGGAGGCAACCCAATTGTTCTTTTTAGTTCGTTGTTCAATTTCGTGTAGTAGTTTAGAAGTGTTCTCCTGGTTGTTCGACTGATTTTGGGGTTTCAGTTTTCGTTTTTGCTGATTTATAGGTGCTCTTGCCCTCATGACGTGCCCGCGTGGTGATGTGCAGGACGCTCACGATCAGGAACTTCTGAAACTTCTGGGAGCTCTCTTGCCCTCTTGACGTGCCCGCGTCACGTTCGCGGGAAAGGTAAGGATTCAAAAAAAAAATAGAAAAAATTATTATTATTATTTCATTTATTCAAATAATAACAAAAATAAAAAAAAGGAAAAAAAATCAAGAGCAAGAAAAATTTTTTCCTCTTAACCGTAGCAATTTCTTTTATTTCAAAAAGAAAGAAAAAAAAAACACACACACACGAGAGTTCCTTTCTTTTTCTTTCTTCTTTTCCCTTTCTTCTTCTTTCTTTCTTTCTCTTTTCTTTCTTTCTCCCCTGCTGCTCCCCTGCTCTCTGCGCACGCCACAGCCAAATCCATTTATCGCCATTGCCGCCGCGCGCTCGACCAGCCCAAGCCGCCGCCATCGTTGCTAGAGTCGCGCGCCGCTGCTGCTCTGCGCGCCTCTCGCCATCGCCACCTGCCAGCAAGTCTGCCCGCGCGCCGCCGCCAGTCAGCAGATCTCTCTCCCCATCGCCGTCCGCGATCTACCACTGTTGCCACCACA